CTCTATTACGCTTGGCTGGACTGGCAAAAACCGCGATTGGGAGATGATGAGCGCGAGGATGGAGATTGGTAATACGGCTTTACGGGGGTCATTTCGTAGAAAAAGAGGTGCAGGAGCTCATTTGCATAACTCATTTGCATATGCCACGCCCCCTGACAAAGGGCAGGCGTGCAAGCATGCCTCGGTTCCCTGCCTGACCCGCCGCGGGAGGGGGGGGGGGGGGGTTTCTGCAGGCCTTCCCTGGCCCGTCCGCCTCGGCAGGTGGGCCAGGAAAGGCGGCAGGGGCCCCGGCAATGTTCCCTCTAAGCTGTGGAGTCTTGTGAGCAAAAGTTCTACTTTGTGAGCTACTGGCATTAAAGTTGTGAGCGAGCGATTTGGCTACTGCATCAATTAGTTTGCTCTGGAGACATCCTTCCTGAGCCGAGACAAAAATTTGTGAGCCAAAGGCTAAAAAACTGTGAGCTAGCTCACACTAACTCAGCTTAGAGGGAACACTGGCCCCTGGGCTCCTTTCTGCCGGAGCGCCGTTTCGGCACATTCCGGCAGGAAATGACCCCTGCTGCTTTATGAAACGCAGGTCTGTTTCCATGCCTAGAACCTCAATAAACTTTGGGCAACTGAGATGATGAGGGGGGTCGGAGCGCCTCCCCTATGAGGAAAGGCTGGAAGAGTCTGGGACTTTTCGGTTTAGAAAGAGATGACTAAGGGGGGGGGACAGGATAGAGGTTTACAAAACTATGCATGGGGTGGAGAGAGTGGACAAAGAGTACTTTTTCTCCCGCTCCAAAAAGACTAGAACTCGAGGGCCTCCGATGAAGCCGATGGGCAGTAGGTTCAGGACGGACGAAAGGAAATACTACTTTACACAGAAAAGGGTTAAGAGTCCACTCGCACCTAAAGACTAACCAAAAAATGTGGCAGGGTATGAGCTTTTGTGAGTCACTGCTCACTTTTTCAGTGTCGGTCTGAGGCCAGAGCCAGCCGGCTGGAGTCATGCCCTGGGGGTCCCTACCCCACCCAGAGCCCCAGGATCAGTGTTCCCTCTAAGCTGAGTTAGTGTGAGCTAGCTCACAGTTTTTTAGCCTCTGGCTCACACATTTTTATCTTAGCTCAGGAAGGGATGGCTCCAGAGCTAACTAATTTATGCAGAAGCCAAATCGCTCGCTCACAACTTTAATGTCAGTAGATCACGCAGTAGAATTTTTGCTCATAAGACTCCACAGCTTAGAGGGAACATTGCCCAGGACCTAACAGCAAACTTTCTTTGAAACTCCTTTTAAAAACAGGAGCAAGTGTCTAGCATTATGGTCTTAAATGTCTATGTGGACACATGCGGACAATGCCGGGTGAGATTTCGAAAGCCAGCGAGGCTGCTGAATGGCATGTCCAGTGTTGGGGGTTGCGGCTTCAAAGCCCTGCTCGCTCCTCCCCCAACTCCCCCAAGTAGAATAAACAGTCGTAGACACAAAATACATCATGCAAAATAAGATAAGTTGTGCAAACGTCTCAAACTGATGCAGGGTGCAAGGTTCAGATTTCCATGGGAAAGGATTTTATTATTTTTTTTTAAAAAAAGAAGAATTCAGAGGAGAAAGTGCCCTGAACCAACCTTGTTGACGTGCTCGGCCATGGTGTGGTAATTCAACCCTGCTTTTGACTTGAACTGCTTCTTACAGTGCTGACATTTCAAGGCGTCTTGCAGCTGGACAAAGGAAGCGAAGGATCAGTGCAGGTATTTCAGTGCCAAAACTCGGGACAAATGCAAACAGGGGAGTCAGGACACAGGATGGAAAAGTACACGCGGGCAATACACTCAGTAATTCAGCACCTACACACCACATACGTTTTGCATATCTGTGTCTACAACACCCCGAGTTTGCCTCTGTTGGCTATCCCACCACTCGGGGTCGCCCAGCAGGAACTCATTAGCATAAAAGGCCACACCCAATAGCAGAAACTCATTAGCATATTGGGCCAGACCCCTGACAGCACAGCTCATTAGCACATTAGGCCACACCCCCATGTTACCAGAAGTGTGGTCATCCAGCCACACCCACCTTTTGCTTCTTATTCTGTTTACCGTGTTTGTTGTCAAAACCCAGGGCTTTTTTTGTAGCAGGAACCACACACCCCTATTGTAGCCAATCCTAACGAGTTTCTGCTGTTGGGTGTGGCCTATTATGCTAATGAGTTCCTGCTGGGCGTGGCCAACTCAGGAGCCAGCCGGAACTCTGTTCCTGTGCGTTCCTGCCCCAAAATAGCCCTGGGGTCGCCCATCTGGCATCGACCGGCGCCTGGGCCTTTTTCTTCGTGGCTCCGGCTCTGTGGAACAGGTTCCCTGAAGGGGTGACGGGGCTCCTCTTAGGAGATCTCTAGGAGTCGCTGCAAGGCGCTGCAACGCTGTTTGGCGGGGCTTTGGAGGGGGGTTTGAATGGCAGGCACCTTTTAAAGGGGGAAGGAATTGGGGCTTGCTATTTTATCTTGAGTTTTCACTGAAAATGTTTCTATTATCGTAAGCCACCTTGACGGGTTTTTTTGTAGAAAAAGCCCAGCAGGAACTCATTAGCATAATAGGCCACACCCAACAGCAGGAACTCATTAGCATATTAGGCCACACCCCTGACAGTGCAGCCCATTAGCATATTAGGCCACACCCCCATGTTACCAGAAGTGTGGTTATCCAGCCTCACCCACCTTTTGCTTCTTATTCTGTTTACCTTGTTTGTTGTCAAAACACAGGGCCTTTTTTGGTAGCAGGAACTTCTTTGCATGTTAGGCCACACACCCCTAATGTAGCCAATCCTAATGAGTTCCTGCTGTTGGGTGTGGCCTGTTATGCTAATGAGTTCCTGCTGGGCGTGGCCAACTTGGGAGCCAGCCGGAACTCCGTTCCTGTGCGTTCCTGCCCCAAAATAGCCCTGCACCTTGAAAATGTTCCTAACTGTTATCGTAAGTCACCTTGAATCCCGAGGAAAGGTGTGAGATAAATGTTTAAATAAATAAATATATAAAATGAATGTATACAGACACGGCTTCTCTTACGCTCTTCTAAATGGAACACTCTGTCTGAGGCAATGATGCTCTGTATTCTTGGTGCTTGGGGGGGCAACAGTGGGAGGGCTTCTGAAGTTCCGGGACCATTGGTGGACCTCCTGATGGCACCTGGTATTTTTGGCCACTGTGTGACCCAGAGTGTTGGACTGGATGGGCCACTGGCCTGATCCAACATGGCTTCTCTTACATTCCCTCCTTTTCACTAATCTTTGCTTGGTTTTGGACCTGGTATTTCTGGCCACTGTGTGACAGAGTGTTGGACTAGATGGGCCTTTGGCCTGATCCAACATTGGCGTCTCTTATGTTCTTATAAACCTCACCCACAAAATCTCCAGGTATTTCCCGACCCAGAGCTGGCAAAACCTAGAAGAAGGGTATTTCTGCCCCTCACTGCCGCCTTCTAATTATTTCTAGTTCAGGTACGTGCAGTGTCCTACCTTTTGGCAAACTTCCATGTGCTTCTTGAGACCGAGGACCGTCTTCCTGGTGATCATGTTGCAGGTGGGACAGGCCACTTCCCCCTTCTCGTTGATCGTCCGCTGCCACTGCTCCTCCGGGCTCACTGGGGAAGGGAGGGGGCAGGCAACAGATGTCAGCCCAGAGATGTCGTGAGGAAAACACTGCCAACGCCGTCTGAAGACAACCCCCCCTCCCCCCCACACCATCATTCCCCTCAAGTCTTCAAGACGGCTGACTGAAAATCTTCCAATGAAAACAAAACCCTCATTCAAACAACACTCAAACAATACGAGCGGCAGAAGCCGGCAGAAACACAACAAGTGCTTAAAATGCAGGATTCGCTGCCAGAGGATGTAGTTATGGCCAAGGGTACGGATGGCTTTAGAAGGGGATTATGATTCGTGAAGGAGAGGACTAGATGAAGAAGAGGAGATTGGATTGATACCCCGCCCTTCATTACCCAAGGGAGTCTCCGAATGGCTTACAAACTCCTTTCCCTTCTCCTCCCCACAACAGTCACCCTGTGAGGTAAAAGAAGAAGAAGAGGAGATTGGATTTATACCCCGCCCTTCACTACCCAAAGGTGTCTCAGAGCGTCTTACAAACTCATTTCCCTTCCCCTCCCCACAACAGACACCCTGTGAGGTAAAAGAAGAAGAAGAGGAGATTGGATTTATACCCCGCCCTTCACTACCCAAAGGTGTCTCAGAGCGTCTTACAAACTCATTTCCCTTCCCCTCCCCACAACAGACACCCTGTGAGGTAAAAGAAGAAGAAGAGGAGATTGGATTTATACCCCGCCCTTCACTACCCAAAGGTGTCTCAGAGCGTCTTACAAACTCATTTCCCTTCCCCTCCCCACAACAGACACCCTGTGAGGTAAAAGAAGAAGAAGAGGAGATTGGATTTATACCCCGCCCTTCACTACCCAAAGGTGTCTCAGAGCGTCTTACAAACTCATTTCCCTTCCCCTCCCCACAACAGACAACTAACCATGGTAACTAAAGGGAGCCTTCATGTTTACAGGCAATCAACCTCTGAATCTCAGTGCCAGGAGGCAACATTAGGGGAAGGCCTCGGCCGCTATGCCCTGCTGTTGGACCACCAGGGGAACTGGTTGACCACTGTGTGAGACAGGATGCTGGACTAGATGGACCACTGCTCTGATCCAGCAGGGCAGTTCTTATGTTCTTATGAAGGCCTCGGCCTCTATGCAGAGGAACTGGCTGGCCACTATGTGAGGCAGGATGCTGAGCTAGATGAACTATTGGTCTGATCCAGCAAGGCTCTTCTGATGTTCTTATGAAGGCCTCGGCCTCTATGCCCTGTTGGCCTTCCAGGGGAACTGGTTGGTCACTGTGTGAGACAAGATGCTGGACTAGATGGACCACTGGTCTGATCCAGCAGGGCTCCTCTGATGTTCTTATGAAGGCCTCGACCTCTCTACTCTGTTGTTGGGACATCCAGAGGAACTGGCTGGCCACTGTTTGAGGCAGGATATCAGGTATTAATCGATGTAATACTGAATTGACCACTAGAGGGAGCAAAACATGTGAAGAACAGAACCCCCACCCCAAGCAACAGGAACGCAGAAGTGAGGAAAACAACACTGCAGAAGAGCCCTTAATCCACAATCCGTGTTTAAGGAGCTGTAGGGTTCCTTTTAGGAGCTGCGGTGGCTCAAGTGGTTAAGACGCTGAACTGCAGGCTGTGGAAGGTCGGTAGTTCAGCAGTTCGAGACCCGAGTGTGCCGCATGACGGAGTGAGCTCCCGTCTCTAGTTCCAGCTCCTGCCAACCTAGCAGTTCGAAAGCAAGAAATTGCAAGTAGATAAATAGGTACCACTTCGGTGGGAAGGTCACAGCGTTCCGTGCGCCTTGGGGTTTAGTCATGCCGGCCACATGACCACGGAAACATCTTCGGACAGCGCTGGCTCTTCGGCTTGGAAACGGGGATGAGCACCGCAACCCTAGAGTCGGACTCGACTGGCTTTCGCGCAAGGGGAACCTCTACCTTTACTTAAGGTTCCTTTTTGATTTCCCAGCGACCAATTCACACAGCACGCCCTGGGAAACCTGGGCTTTCCTACCAACTGTGCTCTTCTCAGGGAGCAGCTGTCAATCCCGATCCTCTAAGAGGTGGTACCCATAGGAGACACAAGTTTGCAAACACTACGGTGTAACTTTCACACCGACACATGCACACTTACAAATCTTAGGTGTACATTTTTTAAAAAAAAAATGCATTGTGAGAAGACAGCCCTCGTTCCAGGTCAACGACATAAAACTACCAAGGCCGCGATTCTAAAGATCTCCCGAAGCAGTGTTCCCTCTAAGGTGAGTTAGTGTGAGCTAGCTCACAGGTTTTTAGCCTCCGCTCACACATTTTTGTCTTGGCTCTGGAAGGATGGCTACAGAGCAAACTAATTTTATGCAGTAGCCAAACGGCTCACTTACAACTTAAATGCCAGCAGCTCACAAAGTAGAATTTTTGCTCACAAGACTCCACAGCTTAGAGGGAACAGTGCTCCCGAGTAGGGAAAAGGCTCACCTGTTGAGGAAGGTGCTGCTGCTGCTGCTGTTGGCGTCGCCTCCTTTTTGATGCTGGATGCCGGCAGTTTCCTTTTCAGCTCTTCGCTATTCATGGCGCTGCTGCTCAAGGCCGCCTCCAGCTTCTTCGCTCGATGGGCTTTCGCCTTGTCCTCGGCTTTGGCCAGCCCTGCAGAGAAAAGCAGAGGTTGGGTTTGGAGACAGGCCAGAGTGGAGCGAGCGCTTCCCGGCCGCAAGCTGCTGCAAAGGCCAGGGGCCGAGACAGGGCTCATGACGAAGGAGCCCCCAGGGTAGACCTCTTCTCTCCCACTCGTTCTCTAGGTGGCTACTGACCAGTCCCTGTTTCTCAGCTCCCCATCTGCAATAGGAGAACAAGAGCACTGATCTACACTACAAGATTGTTGTAAGCAGGGCTCTTTTTGGGCCGGAACGCACAGGAACGGAGTTCCGGCTGGCTCCCGAGTTGGCCACGCCCAGCAGGAACTAATTAGCATAATAGGCCACACCCAACAGCAGGAACTCGTTAGGATTGGCTACAATTCGGGGTGTGTGGCCTAACATGCAAAGGAGTTCCTACTACAAAAAAGGCCCTGGGTTTGGACAACAAACAAGGTAAACAGAATAAGAAGGGAAAGGTGGGTGTGGCTGGATGAGCACACTTCTGGTAACGTGGGGGTGCGGCCTAATGTGCTAATGAGCTGTGCTGTCAGGGGTGTGGCCTAATATGCTAATGAGTTTCTGCTGTTGGGTGTGGCCTATTATGCTAATGAGTTCCTGCTGGGCTTTTTCCTACAAAAAGAGTCCTGGTTGTAAGATAACGGAGGGGCAGCACTTGAAACACTCCAAGGAACCGCGTAAGGACCGTCTTCTCCTATATGCTGCTGTCCAGGAATCAAGATCACACGGAGAGGCCCTCCTGATTGTCTCACCAATAAAAGAGAAGAAGGAGGAGGAGAAGGAGGTTTGATTTATATCCCGTCCTTCACTCAGTCTCAGAGCAGCTTACAAACTCCTTTCCCTTCGCCTCCCCACCACAGACACCCTGTGAGGTAGGTGGGGCTGAGAGAGCTCTCTCAAGGACTGCCCTTGAGAGAACAGCTCTGACAGAACTGTGGCTTGCCCAAGGTCATCCAGCAGCTGCAACTGAAGGAGTGGGGAATCAAACCGGGTTCTCACAGATCAGAGTCCGCGCACTTAACCACTACACCAGATTAGATTCTGTGCACAGGAGCGGTGGCACAGTGGGTATATCCCACTGTCTTAACATCCGAACTGTGTTAGTTCGAGCCCTGCGCTGGTGTGAGCAGCCAGCCTGTTGTCCCCAGCTCATCGTCCACCCAGCGATTTGAAAGCTTCAGCGAGTAGATAAAATGGGAACCACTCCTTAGAGAGGGTGGGCACACCAATCTCCCTTGTGGGAGGGTGTTAGCTGACGGTCAGGACCTCCTAGTCGAGGTCGGAAAAAGGCGGAAGAACTTCTCGGGTACAAAAATCCCTGCAGTGGATGTTTCCGGCCAGGCGGTGGCAGTGTGGCGATGTGACATACGGGTCCTGAAGCCTGGTCGACAAGCAGCCGTTCGGAAAATGACTGAGCGAAGCCAGAAGACGTTTACACCGTGCAGTGACAGCATGTGCAATTAAATGAACATATGTTGTCTTCCCTATCCCCTATGAACATTGTTAGTCCTCTGTCTAAAATGTGTAACTGTACATCGCTTTGAGCCCACTGGGGAAAGCGATTAATAAATTGAAAGTATTATTATTGTTGTTGTTGTTGTTGTTGTTATTATTATTGTTTATTATTATTAACCACTACACCAGATTAGAGTCTGTGCACCAAACCACTACACCAAACCTCTACACAAAGAGGCTCATCCAGTGGGAATACAGGTCAGGGCCTTCCCGGTGTGATTCCCATTACCGTTCCACCTTGCACACTATGTAGTTAATCCTGAATCAGGTTTAATGGTTTGTCTAATGAGTTATCTCTTGCACTATTTCCCATAAGTTTAAACAAGTCTGATTGCACTGTGACTGTACTGTATTTTATTATGTTGTTGTACATTGAAATATCAATAAAAATTATTTTAAAAAGAGAGAAACTGGGAGAAACAGAAGAGTGACTCCACTCCACGGAGCTCCATCCCACCCACCCCAAATTCCACCTACCCTAGGAACAGACCCCAAATCTCCGGGAATTTCCCAATCCCATCCAAAGGTAGCAACCCCAAGGAAACAGGATGCTGGGGCAGGTGGACTTGGGCCTGATCCAACAGGGCTCTTCTTTTCTTACGATCGCCTCCATCCCCACCTGATTCTATCACTGCTACACTGCATTGTCTCTCAAGTCTTCCCTGTGCTGTGCCTCAACAGAGTTTGCATTCGACTCCACGGCAAACAAAATAAGGCAGTAGAAAAGAGCAAGAGTCCAGTAGCACCTTAAAGACTAAGAAAACATGTTGGCAGGGGATGAGCTTTTGCCAGTCTGTGTTGTGGTATCTGAAGAAGTGAGCCGTGACTCACGAAAGCTCCTCCCCTGCCACATATTTTGTTATTCTTTCAGGTGCTCCTGGACTCTTGCTCTTTTCTACTGCTACAGACAGACTCACACGGCTACCCATCTTGAAATAACGCAGGTGACATTTGCAAAATCATCACACCGGAAGATTTCATAGTCTCGATCAAAAGCTGCCTCCGGCTTACCTTTCAGTCCGAACGTCCCCGAGATGGACGGCTGCTCCCCGGTAAACTTCTTAGGAGTTTTCTGTTTCCTTCCTAACTCGAAAAGGACAAATCAGAGAAGCAAATTGGGTCAAACACCTGCATTGTCTGCTCAGAGCACACTGCCTATTGGGAAATGGATGCTCTATTTGGTGCAATCAGGGGTCATTTCCTGCGGGAGCGCACAGGAGCGGAGCTCTGGCAGTAAGGAGCCCAGGGGGCGGTCACATGCAACAAGCCCCACCCCCTGCTCCCAGCAGCCCTCAGTCAGAGCAAGAAGCAGCCAGGTAAGTTGCAGAGCCAAAAGAGTCCAAAACAGTCCAGTGGCACCTTTAAGACTAAGTTTTATTCAGGTACAAGCTCTCCTTCCACTGTGAGGACAGATCTGCAAATCCCCCCCCCCTAACAGCTAGCAATCCAAACCAGTCCAGTGGAGCCTGAGTGGTGGGTGTTGCCTTCTGACACACTTCCGGTGATGTCAGGGGTGGTTGGCATATGCAAATGAGTTATGCTAATGAGCTTCTGCACCTCTTTTTCTATTAAATGACCCCTGGGTGTAATTAATGCTGCTTTCTCCAGAACAGAACTGAATCCTGCTTTTTCCAGAAAAGAACTGAAACCCGCAGGAAGTCCTGCTTAACCTCTCATTTGGTTTATCAGATTTCACTATATACAGTGAAATGGTCTGATCACCCCCACTCAAGAAAGATATTATAGCATGGGGAAAAGGTGCAGAAAAGGACAACTGAAATGATTAAGGGGTCGGAACGCCTTCCCTATGAAGAAAGGTTAAAGAGCTTGGAGAAACAGCGACTGAGGGGTAACACGACAGACCAGGGGTGACCAAACTTGCTTAACGTAAGAGCCACATAGAATAAACATCAGATGTTTGAGAGCCGCAAGACGTGAACAAATATTACACGTTTTTCCTGGGAAATACGCAGATTTGCTTTTTACTAACACTAAATGAGACTGCCCAAAATAATAACAAAAGCGGTAAAAGCAGATAGTGCTCATGATATTTATTTGTCCAGTGATAGGTAAAGGTTCCCTTGCTCGAAAGCCAGTCGAGTCCGACTCTAGGGTTGCGGTGCTCATCTCCGTTTCAAAGCCGAAGAGCCAGTGCTGTCCGAAGACGTTTCCGTGGTCATGTGGCGCACGGAACGCTGTTACCTTCCCACCGAATGCGTTCGAACCGCTAGGTTCGCAGGAGCTGTGGCCAGACGCGGGCGCTCCCTCTGTCACACGGCACTCGGGTCTCGAACTGCTCAACCACCGACCTTCCTCAGCCTGCAGTTCTGTGTCTTAACCACTTGAGCCACCGCAGCTCCAGTGATACTTGTTTGCTAATGATATTTCACTTCCCCATCCACCCTGCCAGGAGTAGTACAAGATGTGCGAAAGAGCCGCATGCGGCTCCCGAGCCACAGTTTGGTCCACCCTGCGATAGACGTTTTCAAACTTATATGAGGGATAGAGAAGGCAGAGAAAAAAAGCCCCTTTCTCACAATACAAGAACTCATGGGCACTCGATGAAATTAATGAGTGGTAGGTGGCAGACTTAAAAAGTACCTCTTCACCCCATGAGTAATCAACACGTGAAATTCACTGCAGCAGGAAGTGGTGGCAGCAGGAAGTGGTGGCAGCTACAGACATAGACAGCTTCAAGAGGGGATTGGAGAAACATCTGGAGCAGAGGTCCATCAGTGGCTATGAGCCACAAGGTAGAGATGGAACGCTCTGTCTGGGGCAGTGATGCTCTGTACTCTTGGGGCTTGGGGAGCAACAGTGTGTGTGTGGGGGGGGGGCGTCTGGAGTTCTGGCCCCGCTGGTGGACCTCCTGATGGCACCTGGGTTTTGGCCACTGTGTGACACAGAGTATTGGACTGGATGGGCCATTGGCTTGATCCAACATGGCTTCTCTGATGTTCACTGGGCAAGGTTTTCCAACTTCTCTCCAAAACCATAAGAAACTTGCTTAAAAAAAAAAAAAGGAATACCGATTTTCTCCACAGATATTTAAAGGCAACTTTAAAGCAGGGATTCCCAAATTAAGGAAGGGAAGTAGAAAAGGAGCAAAGATAGCTGCAGTGAATATACATAGTGCTAGTCCCACAGGAGTGGATCATCTCGCATGGATTACACTTGCCTTAAAAATAATCGAAAAACAAAATACTTTTGGCACTGTATCTATGGATGAGCCTACTTAAATTCAGCCTAGCGAAGAAGAAGAAGAAGAAGAGATTGGATTTATACCCCGCCCTTCACTACCCAAAGGTGTCTCAGAGCGGCTTACAAACTCTTTTCCCTTCCCCTCCCCACAACAGACACCCTGTGAGGTAGGTCGGGCTGAGAGAACTCTTGACAGAAACTGCTCTTTTTCAAGAACAGCTGTGCCAGAGTTATGGCTTGCCCAAGGTCATCCAGCCAGGTGCAAGTGGAGGAGTGGGGAATCAAACCTGGTTCTCCCAGATTAGAGTCCGCGCACTTAACCACTACACCAAACTGGCTTTCATGCCAAACTGGCCCTGTATCAAGGATACAGGGATAATTTTAGACTATAAGCTAGTGATTTTCAAACCACTGTGTCCTGAGAGGTCAGTGAGCCAGGAGAAATAAAGAACTTAATGAATTATAGACCCCCATGAGCTCCAAGAGGAGGCATCCTGTTGCATCTCTGCATGAGTCATTTGCCTTTTCCCAACCACCCTGGTCTGGTGGTGGGGGGCTCATCTTTGTCCCAAGTATGATGTTCAGTCACCCCAGGCCATAGGTATAACAGGACCGTTCACCCCCACAGGAACTTGCCTGTTGCATCTCTTCATGAGTCACTGGCCTTGATATCAACCAGGTCGGATGTCTAGATCAGTGAATCGTGCAGAAACACAGAAGAAGTAGAGGGCTCCTGTTTGTTAAATCTTGCTCTCCCACACTCTGAGAGCGGAACCTGTTCAGGTGTAAGAGCAAAGCGTACCTCCAAAGTCGATTTGTTCAAGAGTGGGAGAACTGTGCCTCCAAATGCATGAGAAACACTGCTCTAGTCTTACTGTGCTTCATCCGCTCGGGGTCTTCCTCCTGAACAACGGCATGCCGGCTCGTCTGCTGCTTGGAACTTCTGCCGCCGGACAGCTGCGTGGCCGGGGTGGCCGCTGCCCCACCGCTCCCAGCTTGGAACTCTTTGCCATCCTTCTTTGTGGATGCACACTCTCCGTTCTCGGGGTGTTGGAGGGCAACGGCCTTTTCTACCTTGGCCTGCTTGAGATGGACGGTGGGGGACGGCGAATGCTCAGCAGCTCTAGGGCAAAGCACAGGGGGCGGATTCAAAACAGGGCGACGTACCGAGGCCTTTCTGACCACCCTCCTTCCACCCCGATTCAAATGGCGGCTCCTCTCTTCATCTCTGCCTCAAAGACGTCTGGCTGTCCTCGACCAAAGCCAGGGCTTTCTCCGACATGGTGGAACTCTCCGCCAGCTTCCGCCAGGGCCCTGCAGGACTTAATGCCATTCCGCAGGGCCTGTAAGGCAGAGATGTCCCGCCAGGCTTCTGGTTGAGGACAGCGACTGTTTCCCATCATTGGCACCCTCTTCTTCTTTTTTTCCACCTTGCCCGCTTTGGCCTCTTCTTAACCTGCCCATGAGACAGAAGAACAGTCCTGAGCGGGTTTTAGACTAAAATAAGGACGCCGTCTGGAGACTGTACAATAAGGATTCATTGATCTGTCGATTTTAAGTCGTATTTATATGCATGTTTTTAACCTGTTGTAAATCGCCCAGAGACCTGTGTACTCAAGGATGGGGTGACCCAGAAACTTAATCAATAACAACAACAGCTACAGTAAAGACCCCAACAACAACAGCTACAGTAAAGACCCCAACAACAACAACAGTAAAGACCCCAACAACAACAACA